AACAATATTCTCTCTTTTCTTTTTTTGCTAGACTGGAGTCAGTAAAGAGAAAGAGAATTTGAGAAATACAATTGATACATTTGGCTCTCTTTATATATACTGACTTTTGGACCAAATAAACAGATAAATATTTTTCCCTATACTTTACATGCTTTGGGTTACAGAGAAAACAGTAATAACTTTCCCAAACAAGACATTTTATATTTTATTTTAATAATAAAATTATTAAAAATTAAATCACTACTTGATTATTCAAAGATCCTTTTAGAAATAATTCTTGGAACAAATAAAAAATCAAAACTATAATTAAAGAATCCTTAGAAAGTAATAATAAGGAGATCATCATATTTTAAAATCTGTAGTATGGGATCAATGTAATCAGAATTCTATTTATAATATTCAACGCAGTAAATAAAGACTAAAAGAATGTACTAAAATTCACTGAAGACATTAAAAAGAAAGCCAAAATACCAAAATAAAGAGGGAACAGACTCATTAAAGGAGAAATAAAAACTAATAAGCTGAAATTGGAAGAAATGAAAAAAAAATAATAAATATGAGGGCAAGAAGAATCTATGATTACTAAAGTAGCGTGTATTGCTTCAGAATTGTACAGATAGATGAATGAAATTATATAAAGTGCCCAGAAACAGAGTTCATGTATAAGTATTTCATATATCAACAAGGTGGCATTTTGTATCAATGAAGGATGACTCTATCATTTAATAAATGGTGCTGGGAAAATAGGTTAACCTCAAGAGGTCAGGAAAGGAAGTAAGATTTCTTCCTTATACCATGTACCCAAAATTACAAATGATTAAAGAGTTACTTTAAACATTAAAAAATTATTTCTAAATATTAGAAAAAAAGATGAATATTATATCCTACAGGAGAAACAATCTTCTGAAATAGCATCAAGTATAGACACTCTAAAGTAAAAAGATAAGTATATTTGATTACATGACATTTGAATAATTATAAACTAAAATTAAAAGAAAATAAATTATAAAACTATTTACATTACATAAAAGAAAGAGAAGGCATCCTAATATATAAATAGCTCTTACAAAGCTATTAAAAATAGGGAGACCCCATTTATTGGTGATATGTATGTATATATTTCATCAACAAATAAATGAAAAAATACTAAACCACACCAATAATCAAAAAGACTCAAATTAGAATAATGAGATAGAACTTTATGCTTCTCAACTTGACAAAGGTTAACAAAGATACAGTCTACCCAATGTAGACTGCAAGGAGAAACAGACATTTCATATACTACTTGTACAAATATAATTTAGAACAATTTTACTGGAGAGAAATATGTCAGTGTGTATAAAAAATTTAACGTGGGGACTTCCCTGGTGGTGCAGTGGTTAAGAATCACCTGCTGGGCTTCCCTGGTGGTGCAGTCGTTGAGAGTCTGCCTGCTGATGCGGGGGACACGGGTTCGAGCCCTGGTCTGGGAGGATCCCGCATGCCGCGGAGCGGCTGAGCCCGTGAGCCACAGCTGCTGAGCCTGCGCGTCTGGAGCCTGTGCTACACAGCGAGAGAGGCCGCGATGGTAAGAGGCCCGCGCACCGCGATGAAGAGTGGCCCCCACTTGCCGCAGCTGGGGAAAGCCCTCGCACAGAAACAAAGACCCAACACAGCAAAAATAAATAAATAAACTCCTACCCCCGACATCTTCTTAAAAAAAAAAAAAAAAGAATCACCTGCCAATGCAGGGGACACGGGTTCAATCCCTGGTCAGGGAAGATCTCACATGCCACAGAGCATCTAAGCCCATAGGCCACAACTACTAAGCCTGCATGCTGCAACTACTGAAGCCCATGCACCTAGAGCCTGAGCTCCACAAGAGAAGCCACCGCAATGAGAAGCCCGTGTACCGCAATGAAGAGTAGCCCCCGCTCACCGCACCTGAGGAAAGCCTGCACGCGCAGCAACGAAGACCCAACACAGCCAAAAAACAAAAAAGTTAAAAAAAAAATTTAACCTGTGCATTCCACTTCTAGAAATGTATTCTAAATATATACTTATAAAGGTGAGCAAAGACTTAGGTTAAAATTACAGACAACCTACATGCCCAACAATGCGGGTTGATTGACTAAATTATGGTGCATGAAAAAGATGGAATAATAGCTCTTAAAATCATTTTACAGAAAAATGTATAACGCTGAGTAAAAAAGACAGGACGTAATACATATGATTCCTCCTTTAGTTAAAAATATATACACACATACAATACGTAATTTTATATATACTTAAATATATGTAGATATGTATATATTTGTACATATATGTGAAAACGGACCAGATGAATTCGTCACAATGTTAACATATTAACAATAGTTATCTCTGTTTAGATGATTTTTGTTTTTCTATTGATAGTTTTTGTGTTTTTCATGTTTTCTATTCACTATAGAAATAAGGTTAACTGTACATGGATGTTTTTGTAAACAGGAAAAGAAAATCCACCATTTAAAAGAAAAAATCATTTGAGTCCTTTAATGACAATCACTAAATTTTTTTTC